ACAATAACATGAGACAATACCAATCAATCCTATGTCCTACAAAGTTCCAGGACTCCACCATAGAAACCCAATGATGTAGGATTTTTACCCATATTTGCTGATTCAAAACTGAAAACTTTCAGGCAAATGAAAGATAAACAGATTTTCCTAACATTTGTTTTACGTATGTAGTTATTAGCCCTTACCAACAATTACTTGTTGAAACTCTAGTTGGTTGGTTGTTGTGTTTGTGGCTGTTGCTGCACAGTGTCCTCTGGTGGACAAACTATGCAACACCAACACTGACAACTTAGCTGAAGGGTGTTTCTCCCGTCTCTCCTTTACTTTTTAAATGTTCATTTATTGGCTATTATAAATGCAGGTACTGATATAGCAGTACATCAGTATAGAGGTATTATCAGCCTCAGTCGAGCTCTACTTGGATAGCAGCAATGTTTTGATGTGATTGCTGTTTTTAGATTTACTATGCTGGCAGACACAGGAAACCTTCTTGGAGAGACACGTATGGATATGCTGTCCGGGAGGAGCTGGGCTGCATGTGCAACAAAGCTAAACTAGACAAAAATCAATCAGGTAGGATATGGGGTGCACGGCAGTCTATGTCCATCGCCTCCAGTGCTCCTATTGTCACTGTCTTCTGCACCAAAGCAGGTAAAATGGAGTCACAGTCTCACAGAGTCAATGCTTCCCATCAGGACAAATAAATACCGCTGAGATTTAACTGATTTTGTGTTATACTGTGAAAATAAAGTGTTTGAGCAGTGTATTATATGACCAAACATACTCAAATGCTCACACTTAAATAGGGTTGGATTAAAGTTTGCTATAGCATCTTAACAAAGACAAAGTTCACTTTTTAAACACAGCCTCACTAGAGACTTGTTTGAAATTACATCAGTTTGTTTGTAATTTCAAGTAAAAGCTCAGTAAATGCAAACATTACTTAGCCTATTGATGAAACAATCGAGCAATCAAGCTTAATGCTTTATTTAAAGTAACTACATTGGAGGGTATACCCCATGGCCTAGCCTACTGATCTTCCCAGCCATTCAGCTACAAGTTGTGGTGATGTGGATGCCTAAAACTGGTTGATGGTAATGTACAGTGCAAACACAGGATATTTGTATTACAAAGATGATACCTCAGTATCTAATAATAGATTTTGTCACTGTAGACCATAGGTGTCAAACTCTGGCCCGCGGGCCAAATTTGGCCCGCAGCCTAATTACATTTGGCCCGCGAAGCCATACCAAATTACTATTAGAGCTGGCCTACTGGTATTATACAGCTAATATATATATCGTTTAGTGTTAAGCTTTGCTTGTTCCATATTCAGTTTTTCAGCAAAACTTGTTTGAGTCCATAAGAAAAGATTCATTCTTAAATCTGGAGGAAGATTTTGTTTTTCAATAAATATTAATGTTAGCCCGCGACTTTGTTCCAGTTTTGAATTTTGGCCCACTGTGTATTTGAGTTTGACACCCCTGCTGTAGACAAATGCTGTTCAAATGCTCAGAGACAATTCTGAAGTCTTGTCAGTTTACTACATTTCAGCAGTTGTTCATGCAGTATTTAACTTGCAAGTTTAATTTTCCATGGCAGAACATTGCAGGCACACCAGAGTGCAATTATAAATGCAAACAATGCTGCCCGCTAATACAGGGATTCAAGGTATACAAAAGACAACAAGCCCTACCTTTCTGGATTCTTCCACTGAATACTGCTGTTTGGTGTCTGAGTCACAGACGGGCACAGCTCTACTCAGCAGAGAAGAGACTACTATACATGAAAATCCAGTACAGAATGGGGCTTCCAGGTCAACCTCCAAGGGACTAAATTTAAACTAAAGGTATAGTATTTAGGGTTAGCTAAGCTATATTGCTGCTGTTTTACATATGTGGTATACGTTAACAAGATTGTCACTGACCAAATTTAACAAGCTAAGCTATTAGCTTAGCTAGTTAGCTATTTTTTTGCAGTGTAGCCTAGTTAGCTAACAGTTTTGCAGTGTAGTTTTTAGTCTTGTACTGGAAGTAAAACCAAACCTGCACTTAGTATCATTTTGTACTACTGCTACTACTACTAATAATAATAATGCTTATTATGTTTCTTATTCTAAACAGAAAATGAGTAAACAAAGACATCAGTCAACATTTCGAAGTGAAAATGAAAATGTTAGGGGATTATTTATTTTACATCAGAAATCCTTAAGCTGTAAAATAAATAAAGGGCCCTTTATGTAAAAACCTTCCCATGAAAAAGGTTATGCCCATTCTGTAGATTATCCAGTATAACTGGACTGCTCTTTCTCATGAATTCTCGCGTGCAATGTTTTCTGTTTGATTTTTCAATGCTACGAGCGCAAACAAATTTATCTCCACCTACACTGTATTTAAGTGGAGGCAGATGTTGAGAAGCTGGATAAAACCAAACCTAAACTTTCTGCTTTTCGAAATACTATCGGGTACTGACAAAATTTGTTTTGTTTTGTTTTAATTACAGCACAGCGTTGAGATAAGCGTACTTTTTAAGGGTATTTCCCTGTAAGAAAATGCTCTTCAAGTGTTAAGAAAGCATTCTACTAAACCAAAAGCTGCATGGTGGTCAAAAAAAAAAGTAAGGTTGTTTACTTCTACCTGAAAAAGTTTACTTCTTGAGACAATGTTCTGGGCTTGGAGGGATGCATTTATGCATCTTAGAGAAAAACATTGCCTGAAGACTAGCTTGCTTATAAAGAATTGTGGGATTTCACTGAGAGGATTATTTGATAGTGTTTTAAATTCTCCCCACATCAAAATCTCCTCTTGACTACTGTTTCTGCAGCACTCTGCCCCCACGGTCTCCACTCCCAGTCAGTTCCTACTGAAAACTTTAAAACAGGTCTCAAATTTACAGTTTAGCTTATTTCTAGTTGGTTAAACGGTTTCTCAGACTGGAGTAAACAATAGATTTTGCGGGGATTATGTTGTCCCTCAGATTTACACGTCTGAATTATGATGTTGTTTTTTAACGGCAGGATGGTGTTTGATGCGTTTTTAATACTCTTTTGTTTAGTTTTTGTGAAGTGCTTTTCGAATGTTTTGACAAAAAACAACATTATAACCACAGTGTTTCATATTGAGATGAAGACCGGCCTTCCTTTCTTTATTTTCTAAATCTCAATAACTGAAAGTAAATACATTCACAGGCAGTACAATGTTTGCTGTTTTGTTACTCCCTGTCACTGTCTGGGTGAAAGCTCTGTGGGCTGCCTCGTTCAGCACCACAGAGCTGCTATAACAGATTACAGTGCTGTGAAAAAGTATCTGACTCCTTCAGATTTTGTAGTTCTTTTGCATATTTGTCACACTTATAGGTTTGAGATCATCAAACGAATTTTAATATTAGACGGAAGATAACATTCAAAATTGTTTAATGATCTCAAACACGTCATCTCAAACATTGTAATAGTAGACTACACTAGTAGGATGATGTCTGTGCATTATTATGCCGGTACTCTGGCTTCCTCCCACAGTTTAAAGACATACAGTTAGTAGGGTTAGGTTAACTGGTGATTCTGAATTGCTCATAGGTGTGAATGTGCATGTGTTACCCTGCGACAGGCTGGTGACTTGTACAGGGTCTACCCCACCTCTTGTTTTATGGTTGCTGGGATGGGCTCCAGCCTTCCCGCAACCCTGAATTAAACACGCCTTAGAGAATAAATGGATGGGCAAAGATAACCTGAGTACATACAAAATGCATAGAAAGACTTACAAAGCCATTTCTAAGTCGTTGGGATTCTAAGGACCTGCGATGAGACCCATTGTCCACAAATGGAGAAAACTTTATGCGTTGGTGAACCTTCCCCGGAGTTGCTGGCCAACCAAAATTACTCCTTAAGCACAAGACTTGGGGGGGAAAAACATGTTCACTGACCAGACAAAAGTGCTACTTTTTGGAGGGTTTGTGTAAAACTAGCCAGCATTTTATAAAAAGTCATCATCCCTAAAACAAGGTGCTACTTGTGTAATGATCTAGGACTGCTTTGCCACTCAGGGCTTGGATAGCTTAGTGTAATTGATGAAACCATGAACTCTGCTCCACAAAATCCTGAAGGTGAATGTCTAGCTGTCATTTCATAAAGCTCAAGCACATTCAGTTAGATTCAGCAAGACAATAATCTGAACATATCAACAAGTTCACCTCTGAATGGCTCAAAAGAATAAAAGGAAGGTTTTGGAGTGGCCAAGTCAAAGTCCAGACCTAAATTTGATTGAGATGCTCTGGCACGACGTTAAACAGACCACAAAAACCCTCCAATGTGGCTGAATTAAAACAGTTAAAACAACAAGAAAAAAAAGTAGGCCGAAAATTCCTTCACAGTGATACGAAAAACTCATTGCCAGTTATCATAAATTCTTGATTGTAGTTCTTGCTGCCAAGGGTGGCACAACCACTCATTAGGTTTAGGGAGCAATTTACTTCAACATTGGGCAGGAAGGTTTGTGTAGCTTTTTTTCCCTTTAATAAATGAAATGATCATTTAAAAACAGAATTTTCTTTTTGCTTTCACAGAGCACTGTATACAATATCATGACAGTGGCGCTGCATATTTAATCTTTATTTCTTGTAATATGATCATAAGCCAATCCTGCCTTCACCAAAGACGTCACCTTCTGTTTGAAATTTCTGCAATTATCAAGAGGATGATACATTGAAAGTTTATTGTTTTATTTATTTTCTATTTTAAATACAATCTGAGTACAGAATATTTGACACCCCCAAAATCAGTGACTTGGGAGAAACGATAAACATCCATACGTCTGAAATTATATTTATTCAGCAGTCAGTATAGAATGTAAGATAAACATTTTTGGCACAGTTTCTTAATGATGATAAGCTGTCCCATTTCTGTGTGGTAATCTAAATAAATATGCAAAACCATAATTTATTTCCCAAATAAATACAATAAGAACAACAAAAAAAAGATGCACCGCATCTCCATTTCACCTTCCCGGAAAAAAAAAAGTCAAAAGGAAAAAAAACCAGACAGACATAATGTGTTTTTACTTCAGCCAGTTGCTATGGGTTCAAACCAAATAAAAATCGGCGAAGGTGAAAAAGATGCTTAATGATTCATTTCAACAGCTTTTTCTCCCCTAAAAGTCAACCAGGCAATACAACAAAGGAGGCATTTGAAGGGCCAGTGGAAGGCTGTACTGTGGGTTTTGGATTAGAAAGGTTACATGGTTTTATGGAGAGGTGCGAACATCACTTCAGACCCCAGCATCTACTTTGCCAAGTTTTTAGTTTTTCACTAAAACCATTTTTCTCTTTTACACCTGCTTCTCAAATTAGCTAATGACTGTGCAAGTGTAAACATTCACAAATGACACCCAGAGACAAAAATGAAACGGGTTATATCACCGGCAACCTGATACGTGCGATGTTTATGAATGTAACTTTGTGGATTCCCGCGCGTGTTGATTTGACTTGGTGTGTTATGGCAATTATTTGGGGAAAATAATTCCTGAAAATTATGGGTAATTGCGTTTTTTAGACTGGGGTGTTTTGAGAAAGTAGAACTCAAGGGAGCCGATGTGTGAAATGTTTAAATTGCTCTGTTGCTGTTATTCAACACAAATCGACATACACTGGAGTTTTTAACGTGAGCATGAAACCTGGAGCTATAGATTTGCATTAGCAAATTCTGATCAGTAACACTTTTTTCTTTTACCTGTGTAATAACACTGCAGTTAGTAACATTGCATAGAAGTAGGGAACCAAAGTCATGGCCTGTAATAACAACACGCTTTAAGCCAGATCACAAAACATTATAATCAGGCCACGAGGCTGAAGTGTCCTGTGATTAACACCGGTGGGAATGAAGTCCAGTTACAGCACTGATCTGGTCCCCTACAGCTTATAAATCATAATCTGTTTCATTTACTACTGAAATATGACATCACAAACAAAACCTTGCTACATTGTTGTTACACCACAGTTTACAGTGTTACTACATGGATAGAAAAGATAAAAACTTGTGATTTAAGCAGCCATTGTCTGCCTTTGTACATGTCAAGTCTTGGTGTCCACGTGACACTGTCTCAGCTTGTGAAGACTGATGGTCAAATGCCATAGTCTATCTGTCCAACAAAAAAAAAAAAAAAAATATTATTTTAAAAAGCTGCTTTGGAGCATCCAGGAACATATTCACATCTTCCTCTCATTGAGTTTATACTCCATAGATTTTCTGTTAACAGCAACCATGACTCTTCCATCAGAGAGAGAGAGCAGCATAAAGAAGTCCATATCTCTGGGTCATACACATCCGCAGTTCTTTGCAGATACGTTGTGTATGTTCCGATAGCGGCTGGGGTTTACTGTTGTGTCCAGGACGGTAAAGTCCTCAAATGCAGTCGGTCGGCAGCAGGGCTGAATGCTAACTTTGTCCCTGCGGCCCTTCTCTCTGAAGCCCACTGTCATCATGTGCTTCATGACCATGTCATAGTTTTCCCGGTGTTTATCGCATTTGCCACTGCAGTAGCGCAGCCGCACAGTCTCTTCGCTCTTATATTCGAGACCCAGTTCATTAACTTTCACTTCGAGCGTCCTGACGGTGCACGACTTGGGCTTTCGGGCCCTTTTAGTCCTGCGGCCCTGGGTCTTAGCAAGCCGCCGGCTCTTCCTTCGCTTAGTTTCTAGCACAGTTCCGACCATGTGCTGAAGCTCGCCCTCGGTGAAGCTCTGCAACATCATGGTAACTGACAAAAAAAGGGGAATAAATCAACAGAAAGTGTTATTGACAGGTCATGAGGTGGGATTATCTGGTTTCTGTGTAATTTTGTGTCTAACATTTTCAACAATCAGAAGTGTCAACAGAACAGATGGCTCACACAGATAATGCACTGACGTTGGCATGGAAATCAAAGTCAGGTGCAAACAGAGGACCACAAAAATGTTATCTATCGTAACAGCAACAAACTATCCTTATCAGCGCTAGCTAAACAGAAAGTGTTTAAGTTCCACAGAGCGAGGTTTGTTGATGAATGTCTGTCACTGTTGCAATGTGAGGTAAAAAAAGACCATCATCTTAGAGGTTGGAGATGTTCTGTGGAGAACCGGTGAACTATGACCGGTGCTAACTGACATCAGTGTGTGAACAGTTAAACCTGCTCCGTAAGCAACAGAGTCAGGTGCTGAGTGTTTTGTCGGAACCCTTTCACAAGCTTGTGAAGATGAAAACTACAGCTTATCTTACACTCTGAGAGGAAAGATTTCATGTCGTCTGTTGAGCGTTTCCTCCGATGCAGATCACCCATCTGTTGGGGCACTGGCCTTGATTCTGAGGAGGGCGATGACGATGATGGCGGTGAGGTCTTGGATGCTGATTCTAATAATGCAGACGGTCTCGACGAGGGTGAAGATGGATATTTTGTGTTAAGCTTGAACTGTCTGATGGTGGCCATGTTTCTAATGAGGATGGTGGACAGGGCTGCAGCACAGAGCATGAAGGCAAAAGTAGCACCTTTCCATAACTTCATCTTAGAACGTGGAGGAGCATTGAAACTCTGCGGAGAGAGCAAGAGAGAGGCAAAGTGTGCAACATCAGACATGTTTAAACAGTCACGCCTTCAGCCATGTACTTTTGAACTTGTCACATTAAAGCACAGACACATCAGTGTCGAAACTACTATATCTACCACCATCACATTTCTGCGACCTTTCCACAAATCTACTTCTCTCGAGTGAGGCTTCTGCAGCGGGGCTTTTAATTTACCACCGGTTTACTTTCTCTGATTCTGCTGCCAGCTCATTCTCACTATAAGTGAGGTCACGATCTGTGAGCTCGACATCACTCGCTGACACCCAAGAATGCAGATGTGTGTTTAAAGTTGTATCACTGCAGCCTGGGAAAGTGAAAAAAGTAGAAAAAAGGAAAAACAACACGACTGCCATTCCTTATTTGAGCTGAAGACAAACGGGATGCAACCCCTGCAAACCTGCAGAAAATAATTTATAAAAATACCTGATGAGAATGAGCATCTGAGCCGCCTCCACCCCCAATTTCTAAAACCTCCCCAAAAAACCTTTGAAAAGAGGGAAAACACATTCCTTCCTTTACAATGTCTCAACCACACCTATTTGGAATTCTATGTATGATAGGACGTGCAAGCGTGTATACCCTTTTATCTTCCCTCCCTTCCAACAGATGCAGCAACACTGCAGCCACAAAACTCAATTTGGAGGACTTATGTGCCATGTTTTCTTTTTTCCCTTAATGTCAAACCACTGGTATATTTATTTTTTTTTACAAGCCCACTGCTTTGTTCTCTTCACATCTTGTCAGCAATGAGCAAAGCATTCCCCCAGAGCCGGAAACAGTACACTGGCAGTGACTAACAGCAAATCCAGACCAGCTTTAGAAAGTGCTTTGCCAGGCCGGATTCTGCAGGGGAATGTATGCAGGCAGTCGGATTGTTTACAATGAGAAAACATGTTGCATGGTTGCCCGATACTTTATAGAAACAAAACTCTAAAATAAGTGTTTTCTCTAAAAGTCAGCAACTCCTATAGATCACAGGACAGAGACAAAAACAGTAGGAGCATTGCAGTTTTCTCATGGTGGTTGAAAATTCCCTGCACTCCTCTGCATCTGCGTGATTCGGACAACACAGATGGAAAATAGAAAGGGACTGTGCGCATGAGCTGCAGTGGTGCAAACAGCATATAAACAGGTATAACCAGTCATATCAGCCAAAGCTTGAGTCATCACTCATAATTCCATATGTGTTTGACGTGGTAAGCGGCTTCTGCACAATGAAGGGGTACGACGACAATCATTTGAAAGTCAAACATTTCACCTAGCAACCTCAATTGACACACAGTCTAAGTAAATCAAACATGGAGGTGGCGTGGTAGCTGTGGCCGAATGTTACTCACTGACTGGCCATATGTCTGACGCTTGTTTCTCGCCTGCGAAGGCCTCAGAAGTTATATATGGAGGCCTAAATGGGAACTTTCATTTTGTTTCTTTGACCCCAAACCCTAACGGCAGAGAGCTCGGTCCACCAGGCATTAACTTGTGGAATTCTCAGCTTAAATGAAGCCGTTTTCTACTCTACACAGCTAAGGATGAGAGCTTTGTTTTCCTATGCTATTAATAGGCCAATTTTGGGCAGTTATTAATCCATGGAGTTAGCGATTTCACATGGCAGAGATGCATCGGTGTCCTCAGCCTCCGTGGCTCATCCTGATAAAACAATTACCTCGTAAAGAACAGATAAGTCTTCCACTGTCTCTGCCACTGGATGGAGATTCATCATCAAGCACTGATCTCATGTCCCTGAAGACACTTTGATTGTCATAATTGCACCACTCAGAAACACATTAGTCACATCTGCAGTCAATTGGCGCCAATAAAAGTGCCAAGGATCACACTGCAGCTTGTTCAGATGTTCACGGATGATTAATCAGCACAGACATTTAATATGTGTAACTGGCCCCCACCGCTGTGGACATATATATACACTTACTGATAGAGAGAAGAGGCACCTGCGTTTTCTTGGGAGGGCAATGGATATGTAAATGAGTAGCTGACTTCCTGAGGACAAATACTGCTTTTTTTCGTTCCCTAGCAAACAGAGAAGAGCAGTAAATGCAGAGAGGATATAGTGGAAGCCCTTAGGACTCTGTAGCAGAAGGAAAACTCATCCTCAAACAGAGGTATAAAAGTGCAGATGACTCGCAAAAACAACTAAACCAGCTCCCACACAACATGTCTGGCCCTCACAAAGCATCATGATATGCCCATGCATGCTCCAGTGTGTGCATATGAAGGCCGGTTGATTGTGTCAGGCCCAAAACAAAGGGATAAAATCTTCTATTTACGACGAGAAAACAGTCTGAAGCCATGGAAACGGCCGGAAATGAGGATTTTGTGATTCTAGAGAGAGTGTGGGAGTGATAGCACACCTGACATTTGCTCTGGGCCATATGTCACCTGAAGAGCTACCAGCAGAGAGAAAACAGTCCCAGAAGGCTCTTAACGTGTCCGAGGCAAACCATGAAAGTGAACTGTTCATCCAGAAATGCTTAAGTCTGTCAAAGCCATTCCCGAGACATTATGTATTCTCTAACGCATGCATGCACGCATGGCGCAGTTGGAGGCCGATCTGCAGCGATCAACTGAGCTCTTGTTGATGATCTGAAAGATCGCATTCTTTCAAATGACACAATAAAATCGACGTTTTCGGGGAATAATTGGGTCAGTGGCCTTGGTGCTTCTAAGCTGGTGGTAATGTAATTATATAGCAGCATGGCACCCGTGTCAAACCCCTCCTTCTCTGGCCAGAAGGAGACACTCAACAGAATGTCACAGCCTACGGATGAAGTAGAGATCTGTCAAAATGGGGATAAGCGGCGTTTGTGGTTTTTACTTTTGAATGAAGACAGCAGATAGGGGGGCTTTCCTGTCAGCCAGTCTGGATCGAGACCAGTGAGACACGGTCATTGTGACAGAAGATCACAGAACAGCAAAAATGAAGAGCGTCTTTGTGCTGGAAAAAAAAGAAGCAGATACCAACTTCAATGTCTCACCATGCAGCAGCATTTGTTCCTATATATTCTCTAAATACAGCCTCTTCTGTTTCACCCTGTCTCCCTTTCTCTCTGTGACTCATACATACCATAAACACACACGTACAGCAGTTGCGTGGTTTCACTCTTTCCCAGTCATCTGACGCATGCTTGTCTAGAAATTTAGACAAAGTACAACCTTCAATTGTTGGCCAGACACCCACTTCACTTCTATGGTGTACACATGCTAAAATCAGCAGCTCCATCACATAAGACTAGATTATCTTTCTTATATCATCTTGCTGTTTCTTGATATCAAGAAATCTGTCCAGGTCTAACCACAGTGTGTTTGCCACTGCATAAACGTGAGGCCTGTGCCTACAGAGCACTGTTAATGCACCGTGAGTTGCGGCTTCGCTGGAGCCATGTGACTGGCTGTTTCTGTATTACTCTGAACACACCCCGTAAATACCTGCACTCGTAAGATAGCAGTAGCAAACCAAAGAGTGGGAAAGGCACCTACTATGTTGCTGCAAAGAAACAACGTGCTTTTTGGAGTCCTAGAGAGGCTTTGTCTTGTCTTTTCCCTCTTAAGTGACCATCAGGAGACCTGGGGACAGCTAGAGAGTGCTTGGGGAGGTAATAGGGACATATTCCAAAGATCAGGGCGGGATTAGCACTAATGCCTGCCGGCTTTATCTGCAGTCACGTGGGTTAACACCTGGCTGCAGTGTTGGTGGCAGAGCACAGGTCTCGCTCTGTGTGTGTGTCCGTATTAATCCGTCAGACACCTCTAGCTCAGAGGTTAGCCCAGCATGCAAGGTCCACAGAGAATGAGCACCTGCAGGCTCTTCCACCACTAAATCCCAACCTGCCCACAAAATGCCAGAATAATGAAGAAGAAAAGTGACAAACTTGGTGAGTCAGCTTTGTTGTGGTGGCACCAGGGTGGGCTAAGAGGTTGTAAAATAAAGTGGGATTTCAGAGCCAGGATTGGCTGTTCTATATCCGGCCCCGGTTCTAATGCAACCAAAAAAAGCCTGTGGTGTAATTTTGCTGGTAGCCACATCGGTTGGCTCGTGCTCTGTCACTCAGAGACCATGGGATAATCAAAACAAGCCTGTTCCTTGTTAGCTAGAAAGCTGATGTTCATTATTGAGCAAAAAGGGAAGCTTTTGAGCAATGCCGGAAAAGTTGTGACAATTTTTGGTCACATTCTTTGAATTTTAAACACGATTCTGGTATCCTTTTTCATCCACTGGATTTGGGTAAGTGGCTTAAAAAGTTTCAATTTTATTTTAGAAGGCCTACTATCGGGTCCCCTGGATTAGATACGGATTAATCCAGTGACCCAACGGCTTAGCACGGAATCGCACAACTCATACCTATTGCTGTTAAAGCAGGATTATTGAGGAGTGAGGTGAAGGTAGATTTAAAGATGCACATTTGACACCTGTCTCAGTATTTCTGGCCTGTGCTGTTATGGGAGGAGAGAGTCCAAGTGCAGTGCAGACATTTGAATCACCCTTTTGATGTGAAGCGATTGCATTATTCTTGGCAGAGAAACACAACGTTGCCTCATTATTTTTTTTATATGCGTCTCAGCTACTTTCTAAAGAGTCTATCCTGGCTCTTAATCTGTCTCTGTCGGATCCTCTTTTAGCACAACAACATCACCTCTAAACCCATGTTAAACATGTTGATGTTGCTTTTACAAAAGGCTGGCGGCCATCTGGCACACACTGAATACCACTTTCGAATATGACCCACGCCAGCAAGCACAAGCAAGTACAAACATCCAAAATATGTTGAGATTTTGCATTTATTGACCATACTTTTGTTAGGCTAGCAGTGTCTGCGTTATATGCATGCAGCACGTATGTACTGAGGCAATGAGGAATAGTACATGTGTTCAGCTTCCCCATCAGTTTATATGAGCAGCTTTGGGAGGTTATGAAAGTTGAACAGCTCAACTGACTTTAGGCTTAGCCGCTATCCCTCCTCTCGGAGCACAGCCAGATACAGTATAATCTCCATGTATGATATGGGCTTAGTGCAAAAGGGATCATCAGTTCAGTAAAAAATGCCAAGGATGAGTGTCATCAAGCGCCTCTATTGTGATCCTGATCTTCTTAATTATTTAAACTATTAAAGGTGCGGAAATCCCTGAAATGATTAATACAAAAAAATAATTAGCCAAAATCCCAGTTTCTTATCAAGTCTAAGTAGGGAACTAAGTTTTTTTTAAAGGAGCGTGTATTTAGAGTGCACTCATGCTTTAGAATGAGGCAAACCACCATGTTGGGCAAATGACAGGCAAAGAAAAATATTCCTCCCTCGCAAAATAAACTCTTCTGAGTGTTGAGAGGTTGCAAGAAATTTCAGAGTGCTAATTTATTTTTCTTTTTGCTCTTCCAACAACACGGGATACCCCCTTTTGCGACCAGTGAGCGGTTACTGCTCTGCAAGCATTTTGTGACAGGCCGTAGTGCGCTATTGTCATGTGGCTCTACCGAGGAGCCACTTATTGACACGGATAACGTGTGTTTTCTGCCACCCCAGCACTTGGAGAGCCATCTCTGTCAGCAGCACCTAACACCTTCCTCATAAGCTGCTGGCTTAGACTAACAAAAGAAGATGTGGTGTCCTTACCGTTCGGCCGGCTAATCCAGACTTAGCTGTGTGGCGTCGTCTTCAGCTGACCTCCACAGGCGAGTGCTGGCTGGGTAAGTCCATCATCATCACAGGCGAGGAGTGAGGACAGTACTCCTGCTTGTTTTCTAAAAATCATCACAACTCCTTGTGCCTGCAAGTAGGGGAGGTGTCCTGACTTGATTCAAGCCAAGGGTGTATTATTCTTCCATCATATTTGCACTTCCATAGAAATCTTTTAAGTTGCAAAGATCAGAATCAGCATTCCTCTGAATATAAGCATGCATTTCATGGCATTCAGCCTTATCCATCCAAAAAGAGGAGAGCTGGATGTTTAGAGAAGCCACTGAGTGGTCAGTTTTACTTCAGAAAACTCATGTCTTCATGCTTCCCCATACAGAACTGGTGGTCTTCTTTGCAAACTTGAACCTTAAAATGGGAGAACAGAGCAGAACCAGGGTACGGTGGCATGTAATAAGCAGATCTTACAGATTTCTTTACTTTTATCACATCTGTTGTGAATTTCTGTGAATTTCCGTTGCCTTATGATTATTTTTTCTCCAAGGAACAACACCGATGAAGGATAATGCACATTTCCTTACCCTTTTTTTTCCAGCAGCAGGTCTCCTCTTCAGCTCAAGCAAGAACAACTCTGCGGGTCGTGAAGATGGGTTAGGGTGAGGAGGGAGAGTGTAGTTACCGTAAGTGGAGCACAGAGCTTCTCCGATGCCTCTGAGTGCCTTCCCCTTCAACTCATGCTCCTCCTCCTCCATAGTTGTGCTTGTGGGCCGAGTCGGATTACTCCTGACATGATAATCTCTCTCCAGAAGCACTAAAGGATGCTTTGGCCTGAGTAAAGGCTTACATTTACCTTCTGCCGCAAGAGAGCGTGCCATCTTAAGCAGGCAATTGGTAATAGCCTCAAATGGGCAGATCAGTGCAGTTTAGCGGGGTCTGCTAAAACGAGTGTCTTCCAATCTTTTAGTGGGAATTAAGAAAGTTCACAATTGGTTTAAAGGGGGCTAAGACAACATAAACTCCGAGTAAACAGAATTATCACAGCAGAGGTATTTCATGATAACCCAATCTACAGCTGGCTGGAGATAAACCCATTGATGTTGTTGTTCAGGATCACATCCACATCCCCTCCAATACAGTATTTTAGCCTTGAGTGGCAAATGAGGAGCAGATGGTTGTGTTTTTGGAAGGTATCAGGCGCTCCACACTGTAATCTAAATAAATACCCTAGCCACAGGGGGAAATGCTTCAGGTGTGTGGGGTCAGCGATGTATAAACATAAACAAACGGCGATCAGTCGGGAGACAACTGAGGGGGATACGCGAAGCCTCACAGGTGCTGTCGTGGAGCGGGTTGCATTAACCTACAGGTAAACAGGATGTATGATCCAGAATCGTTTCTGGAGATGCTGAAATAAAGCAGCACAGTAATAAAGCCAGCACACCAACAGGAAACTAATTATTTGCTAACAAATATCTCATTCTCACAACATGAGTCATTCAGATTTCCTCAGGCCAAATTATACACAAATCAAAGCTCCACTAGAGGGGCGGAGATGTGGCCAAGTGTGAAATTTCTAAGACTTAAAATTCCTTCATCGTTGCGTGGGACAAACCAAAGGAATCTTTGCCCAAAGCTTTGTGTCGTTTGTGTATCAACAGATATTATTCTAAGGTTGTTATCACAGTGACCTGAAGGGGTAGATATTTCTTTTAGCCCAAAAGTTCAGGCAACGCATTTTAACACAACCCTCAGCAACTTGGAGAAAAGCAATAGAACAAATGAAGAATGGAAAAAAGAAAACGTCTTTTCATTACAGTCGGCAGGTGCAAAATATTATTATTACACTAACTTATTTAACAGACATCTCAATAACTGGCCTGAACAGCCTATGTAAAGACATAATGACTTCCACCTAGCAGGGAATATTGTGCTTTTCCAGCCTCAAAAAGGAGCTATCTGCACACAGACATTTCCTAACATCGGACAGAAACATGCCTACTCTGTACATATTGTTCACAGATGTGTAAAGTTTTCATAGACCTGCCTCAGCTGCAGCATAAACCCAACAGCTGTTAATTGCTAAATCAAGCCAGATACAGTACGAGTGAAAGGCTTGATCTGTATACACGAAAACGTCTCGCTCAAAAAGTTACGATTACATTAGTCACGAAGACAGTCTGACACATGAGAATACTCGAGGTGGGGGGGGGGCAACATAGCATGTTTCCAATTTCAATATGATAGAATTCCATACACGTTGTGATTGAATCTTTTCCACTAGGCGTGGATAAGTGAAGAAACACATTTTGTTTAGTTTTGGGCAAGATTTTAAGGAAGCCCTCAATCAGTAACACTATAAACAGACCATTCCAGTTGAGGTGTCATTAGAAAGGCTGGAAATAAGGCACAAATGTTGCTACTACGCACGTCTTGCACAAGACGTGGTTTGATGATTGGACAAGTAACCTTTCGCCAAATGTCATCTCGGCGAGTGGAAAACTGCTTTTTAGAGAACCAAAATCTAAACAGAAAACGATGCACTCAGACAATGAGGGCCTTTTATGAGTGTTTCATGTTGAAAGACAAGCCTTCTGTCTAAGGAAAGCGGTAAAAAGGTAAATCCATCCCTGCCAGAGAACAAATATACAATACAATTTGCAGTTGTGAGCAGACAGGCTGAGGCCCCAGAGGTGCAGAGGCCACTCAGGTTTCAAAAGAGGTGTGCACAGACTCTGAGACACTTTCATTCCAGCTCTTAAAATCCTGATTTTGGGTTAAAAATTTAAACTTCCTGCTAAAATGTATTCAATTCAATTTAGTTTTATTTATCTAGCACCTAATCACAATAACAAGGATTCAAGGTGCTTTGTATTGTAAGGTAAAGACCCTGAAATGTACTGATTTCAATGTACATGCTGCGTTTGCAGTGTGTGTGAACAAGTGTGAACGTGGCTAAATGCTGCCCCCATTTGTCAGTGGTTTATAACTACACACCCCCCCAAATGAACAAGGTCTTAACAATCAAGATGCAAACATTTAAAGAGCGTGTGCTGTTTATTGCAAAGCAAATATTTTTGCTTCTCAGCTTTTAATTCAAACATTTTTTTAAATAAATCTGTTAATGTCACTTTTTCCGAGGGAGGTCGAGCTGTTCCCGGTGCCTCACTCTGAGCTGAAAACCACTGGTGCCATCAGGGCCAAAGGGCTGACGTATTACCCTCTGAATCGAGCTGGGTGCATTCGGGTGCCCGGTCTCTTTGCGGTTCAATTCAAGGGCCGCTAGTTTACGCTTGAGCACCCACGGGCTCTGGGAAATTTCTTTATCACAGTCTCCAGAGTTCCACGTCATCCTACTGTCACTATGATTCCAACCAGGGAAGGACTGGCCATTGCAGCTGCTGGAAATCGGGTCAACATTCAGCGGTGCAGGGTTATCCGTGGATGCGTTTGGCTGATGTGTGTCTGGAGGTTCATCAAAAAACGCAGTGGGTGAAGAATTCTCCTGCTGGACTAAGTTCTCTGGGATTTCAGGTGGATTTTCCTCCTCGGGAAGGATTTGGCTTGCTTCTTCTGGGGATTCGTCCTCAGTGAAATGATGCATTGACTGGAATCCCATAGGTACAACACACATGCCTTTCCCGTTAGACTTCTCCTCTTCTGCTTTCAGGGCACTGTAGGCCTTACGAACAGTCTCCAAACTGTCAAACTTGATCACCACACATAAGTGCTGGCCAAGCTCCTTGTGACGTTTCCCGTAGCACTGCATATCTGCGGGAAGCTCCCTTCCAGGTGGCAGAATCTGGAGTGAAGTAACTCTGCCGTAAATGCTGAACTTTTGGAGCACATTCTCTGAGAGCGCAGCGGGCTCTAGGCCTCGGGCTGCACCGTCGTCACTGCTTTGCTCCTCGGAAAAGTTCCAAGCGAGGAGGTGCTTGCTGGTGGGGGAACACATCAGCCATTTGGGAAGCGGCTCTATGCGCCTCACTTTGGTGGACTCATCATTCACCTCCAGAAGGTCTGAGTACAATGCTCCCACCAGAGTCATGTACCAGTTTTTGGTCAGGGTCCTTATCTGTGGCAAACACGGGCAACCTCAGCTTTGTTCGTATTTTACTGGATTGTTTTCATTCAAACCGCTGGAATGTAAACACCACAGAAAGCACCAAATGTTTTTTGTGTTTTGTACCTTTTTCAAAGAAGTGAGAAGCTTGAGACTGACGAAACCCTGCTTGTTCTTCTGCACATGTTTGAGCAGGAAGCCGTCCTCTGCCAGGTGGCTGTCAGAGAAGAGCTCCTCCAAATGGGTTTTGATCTTCAAACACAGCACCTCACCTTCACAGTCATCTTCACTTTGGAAGCGCAGTTGATCAAATCTGTGACAAACGATTCATAATCAGCAAGCAACTTCAAGAGAAACATTTCATTTTGTAAGTTTTAGATTTCCTTACCTAATCAGATCGCTCATGGTGTGTCGTAAGGATTGTGATAGCAGAGCAATAAACTGTTGTCTTTGCTATTTCCTTGGAAATTAAAGGCAGCTGTAACTAACACGGAATCAAGCAACTGTTCATATGAGCACAACAGCCTCAGTTGGTTTCTAAGGAATCCAAAAACAACATTTTGTAAAATGCTATAGCTGAAATTCCACATTACAAAATTAACTTCCACCAGCAACAACAGCACATTTAAAAACAAAGAGAGCAAAAAAACTCAAACAAAACGAAATCCCAAAATGAAACAAAAAAACCCATCATGAGGACAAACTGTTTGTTGCTATACAAACTATTACCAGGGCTACAATTAAGGGCCACTGTGCACAACAGAAAAACCAGCAGTTAATCAGTATTACTATCAGCACTTAAATCATTAGAGATGTGAATTTAAAGCAGTTAAAAGCGCACAATCAAATCAAAAGGAAAATTATGATGCCGTCTGACTTTCAAAAAACAAAACAGATACAGCAGCACATTACAAACAGCAACAAAAATGATCCTTTAAATCCATGCTCGTGTGCTTTTGTCTTAAGCTCATTCATCCTTTTTAGCGTGGGCCTGCTACTACACGCTGAAAGCAACAACAGATCCATCACTCGCACGAGATGGTTTATTTCCATGTTTTAGTCAACAAACTTGATTAATTATAAATATAAAACCCTTTGCAGGCTGTTCTTCAGCTCCACTCACCCCCCGGCCCCCCGTCTTATTGTTATGAGGCATCAGCAGGTGGTGATTTAGCAGTCCGTGTGGGCTTCTAGTGAGGAGGGGAAAAGGAGATGTCGGGGTGTTCCAAGCACATCCGCTGACATGGATATAAACTGGATATACACACGTGTGTTAAGATTACAAAGTGTTAGCTTGAAATTGTCTGCACTGTGTAAAAATTCGAAACTTCAACAACCGCTTCATCAAAACTCATCATTATTCAAATACGAGTGACAGCAGCATTTCCATGACAACAGGAGCAAACAACCACCAAACTGTTATTAGGTCTTGGGTAAAAAAAAAATCACTCCCTCAGTGACTCATTTCCTGTATCCCTCCAAGGTATGCAGCAAATTGAGCTTTCAGGCACTGATGAATCAATGTGATCTTGAATCATCACTGACACTCAGATGTGTTGCACCTCTGATTGCAAACAGAAGGACCTGTTCGTGACATGGATACTTGTTTTTTCCTCCACTACGAAGGAAAACAATACTTGTAAAGGTGGAAAGGGTAAATGCAGAGCTCTAGACAGAATAAATAGAGGGTTTTACCACACTGAAGCACAAGTAAACAATTGCTGATCATTCCCAATCAGACCGGTTAAGGTGGACAGAAACAGGCCAATAGAAAAATGTGACGATCCATTTGAACAGAGCACTCCAAACCAGCAGTAAACAGCAGTTCCTCCACTGGCCGCCTGAGGCTCCCTCCAAAAGCCCCTGGGGAAATCAAACCCTCTTGACTGTCGTGCTGGGATGTCAAACTTCTGAGCAGAAGTAGTTTTAATTTCAACATGTTTTTCCATTTTCTTCTGCTTATCCGATTCAGGGTTGCAGGGGTGCTGGAGCCCATCCCAGCTGTCAAGGGGTGAGATGCAGGGTACACCCTGGACAGGTCACCAGTTTAGAACCACAAAGTAACCTAACCACATGCATGTGTTTGGAATATGGGAGGAAGCTGGAGTACCCCCAAGGAAGGTCATACGGACACAGGGAGAAAGGCTCCAGGCTGGATTCAAACCCAGGACCTTGTTGCTGTAAGGGGACAATGTCAAAAACCTAACAGTGTGTCTTCTCCTTAAAAACTCACGTTTACACTTTTTTAAAGATTGAAAGTTTTTATATTTATGCCAACAGAGACTGTAGCTGTGTGCTAGCCCTCTCCTCTGCTAATTTGACAGTGAAATGTGTTTGAGGCGTTGGTCCGTTTTCATGGAATTAAAACAACATGGCCTGCGCTATGTAGTTCATTTTACTAACAGCACGTCCAAGAAGTTTCTCAAATTTCTATGAGTAAAGTACTAGTATTTTACATTATTTGGCACTAATAACCAGCTTCAGTCTGTGAGTGAACCAAGGTGCTAAACAGGGTTACTAGTGGTCATGGCTAAAACGCTAGAGTTGAGGCTTCTCAGGGAGTTACTGGTCATGTCCTACTTTTATAAACAGTTTATGCTACAAATCAGACGAACAATACACAGTTAATGTGAAAATTTGCTAAACACTGAATGACTACTCTTATATAACATTTATTCACTAGTCATCACTAAAATGGGCTTTGGACACTTAATAATGATCACTTTGTCATTCGCACCTCACTGCAGCTGTTAAAGTCAGTGAAATGTGGCACATTGAAATGTAAAGCCAAATATACATACATAAAAAAAAATACATTTTACAGGAGGAAGATGAGACATTATACGTATAAATGAAAAGTCTGAATTTGAGCTCATGTGCTTTTATACGGGTGGAGTTCACTCTACAGCAACAGAAGCAAGGATGTCACAGCCCCGCCCACTTCAATCCAGCACCCTCCTCCGCTTCAAACCAAAGAAAAACAAATCAAGCGTTCTCTAATGTGAAATGAACCACATATTTAAACACTTGTGGAAGCCTTGAGTTGTGCTTATTTTGCCTTAGACGGTGTACAAAGGTATAATCAGAAGCTGATTAAGAAATTAAGAAAACTTTTCTTTCCAAAGGGGTGGGGGGAGATTAAAATCTAAAAAGTACTAAGGGGCTGGCATCTTTCACAAGTCAGAGACTCTCCCCACCACTCCACAAACACACTTTTAGAAATACCTCAACACAAAGGAAACTCAATTAACTGCAACTATAGCAGCCATGCATCACAAAACAGTTGTGAGCGACCACATGCTCAGTGGGCGATAAGCAGGCACGGTCACAGGTGTCTCTTTGAGCGCGAGGTAAAGAGCATCTTGTAAGATGTAAACTTTTCACTTTTAGTAAGAAACAAAGGATCACAGGCCAGTCTTTGTACAAAAACCCAATTATGTAACTTTATTAACATCAATGGTTTTTTTTTTTTATCATCAACAGTTTCTTTTGAAATTCCAGTTCTTTATCAACAAATAGAAAACAGACTGTGTACAACAGATCGAACCCCTACAGCACTAAGCATTCACAAGGTAAAAATGAACATTTGTTTTTTTTGCCAGCGTTTTCAAGTCCCCCCACCCCACTCCCTCCCATTCCTCCCACCACCACCACACTTAGGATCTTTGTGGATCTGAAGCTCCCCTCCTGCAGTTTGTGTGGGAGAAGCTGTGTGCTTGAGCGGTGCGATGCCCGTGGCGAGTGAGGAGTCGTCCATTCGATGGGGTCGGGGTGTGCGTTGGGGGGTTTTGTGCTGTTTTTCCTCATTCGGGCGAACAACCGGCTGTCAAAGTTACTATGGTAGTACAGTAGATACAACGGGTGTTTCCATTAATACACACGCTAGGACAGCAGGCTCTCTGCGGTGTCTCTAGGTAGATCAGCAGAATTTATCCTTTTTAACAATATACTTTTGAAGCTGTGTATATATCTATGTGTAATTGTACATATATATAATCAATCATAATTATATATATATATATATATTTATAGTTCTATTTCTGTATAAAATAATATCAGTCCAAAGGGCTGAGTCTTTTTCCCTCTGGTAGGAATGGTTGATTCTGTACAGGTACCAACGCTGATGGCTCTGCTCCTCAGCCCATATGAACCACTTCCGCTCCCGTCTGGTCTGCGTGGTTCCACTCCAGCAAACCGAGGTTAATGGTGAGTGAGGAGATGGGAGGGACTTGAAGAGCATCTATGTTCAGAGAGCGGAAGTTTATATTCTGTCCCCTACCCTTTGGGTATAAAAGTCTGTCTTTCCTCAGGTAAGTTCTCCTCAGTGGAGTATGAAGGCCTCAATGCCATAGGCTTCTGATGAAAAAAACCCCAAAACAACCCAAAACAAAACAGGAAAAAAGAAAAAAAAAACAACAACCCAAAAACCGTACAAATAATGTGCTTTCCATTTCTGTACAACTCTGATTTAGTCTCTTGTTAGATATTTCACTTGTGTTTTTAGCTAGCTACCACGTTTACAAGACAACTACAGCAAGTCTGTGCTCTGAAATCAATTTTCTCAGTTGATTTTTTTTTCCGTACACTTGAAACGGCAAGTGAAAAGGCAAAATTTGAGCTATTGAACTGAGTAAGACCAAAAACAATGTTTATGACACATAAAATGATAAAAACAACAACGTGATGTGACAAAAAAAACATCTGAGAGCAGCTCAGAGAACAGTGGTCCTCCTGTATTAGTACCTAGGAACATGTTAAAAACACATGTCCCCTCTGCTAAAGTACCCTATAAATGATTATGAAAATAATGCATACCCGAGGCTGCTGGGCAGTTTAAGACAGAAGAAATGCATGATATTAAAACGATTATTAAAAACAACCCCCAAAAAATGTATACTAAACAATAACGTTTGACAAAATGAATCATAAAAACACAATAAAAACAACAACAACAAAAAAATGAAAATGCTCTCTTTGTGCTACCAGTAGCCTTTGACAATCAGGGAGGATTGGCTTCGGCGGAGCAGAGAGGCGAGCTGCCAGTCTGCGCCGTCGGGTCTGTACAAGAGTTGTCATAGTTGTCAATAGTCACTGTAATGTTTTATTATTTTAAAGCAGAAAAATCTCAGGTGGTTGGTTAACTCGGCGTGTATCTCTGTGATTGGATAAAAACCGTCAACGGGTCAGCAAGCTCATCCCTTTCCCCGCCCCTCCGGTAGCTGCGAGGGGACAGGGTTTGTAGCGGGGTGGGGGCGGGGACTGGGGGGGATCAAGTGATTGGATGGCGGCTGAGATGGGACACTTGGCACACTCCTGAGAGGTCTGACCGGGGAAGGTGCTCGGTGGGAGTGGTTACGTTGCATAGTGGTCAAAGCTCCCCAGGTACTCCAGTGCTGCCCTGTAGCACAGCTGGTACTGGTCCTGTAGAGAAGAAGGAAGAAGACGGTGAGAAAGTTGTCATCGATCTTCCTGCTGTTAAATATAATGACTGGTCTCGTCCATGAATGAACTCATTTGAATTCACATCATGTCTTTTTCCCTCTAATATCCTTTGTTATGTAACGTATTTACGATTTCTTCACTTGAAGAGAATCTGACGCAGGGCTGCTTTGATAGCATTAGTTGAATTTGCTGTGGGATTTCTTACCCCCCCTCCCCTCCTCCCAACAACCTTTTTTTTTTTGATTAAGGAAGGATTTGTCAGTAAGTCTTTGCTTTTATGGCACCAAAATGAAAAGGGACACTTCAGATTGCACAGAGTTTAAATCAGAGAAATATACAACGCTGACTTTCAAACGCCGTCCCGTCACTGCGGGAACAATCGCCTGATCAGTACATCGCCCTTACCTCTGTCTGCACCATGGCGGGCCGCTGGGTGCGAAGCGTCTTTACTGTCTGGAAGAGGTCAACCACACCTTCGTACCTCATCCTCTCTAGCACAATGCTGAGGGTGATGAAGACTCCGGTCCTGCCCACCCCGGCACTAGCAAACACACACACACACAGACAGTATTACTACACCTGCTCTCTAAATATTCTAAATATGCTGAAATTTAAGTCGTGGTGGGAGCACAGTCCAAAGCACAGTCGTTCTCCTCACCTGCAGTGTACAGTGATTGGTCCGTCCTGTCCAAACTGCTCCTTGGTTTTGTGCACTTGTCCAATGAAATCTATGAAGCCTTCTCCAGTTTTTGGCACTCCTTGCTCTGGCCAGTCGGTGAACTGGAACTGGCGGATTGTTCTGGACTGGCCATCCTGAGGGGGGAGCAGATATGGAGCTTCAGAGAGAAGTTTCATTTAAAAGAGAGACCCGATAGCTCTCTGCTGTACTCTGGAGTGTGCGCTTCACAGATCTCGCTGCGCTTTGAACTCAAAAGGGGGGAAAAATAAACAACAACCCAGCAGAGGGTTTCATGTTGAGGTTTATGTATCCTGTTGGCTGTCACTGCAGCCGTCTGATCATCAAATATCTACCTCAGACGCAGTATGAATAAAGCTGACCACCTGGATCACAGTGACAGATTTGTGGCAGCGTAGTGTCAGAATTATGCAGAGTAAATGAGCGCATTTCTAAACATATAATTTGTTCAACCTTTGTTTATACAGGATTGCAGAAGGGACCATAAAATGTGGCCCACAAAGCGAAAACATACATATAGACAAATATTCAGGTCTGCAAACTGCAGAGAGGAACATATATTTATACACACACACACACACACACACACCCATATAAAAGAAAGAGTGGATGTGGGATTAGAGTGTTGCTGTGCTGGGAGCCTTCAGATGACAGTAAAGTATATTTATAGCTCATTGAAACTACTGCATCACAGGGAGTTGCAGTACTGGCCCTCAGGGATTGAAGGCTATGCTTTTCATGTATTTTCACAGCGATCGTGAAACACACATGCACCGGCGTGCACGCGCACATACAACACACACTCACATCTAGAAGCACAAAAAACGCGTACGATTCATAGCACAAGCACGCTGATGCTAAATCCGGGTGAAAATGTTTGATGGCGCATTCACTTGATGTCAGCCTGTCAGGAAAAATAACACAGAGCGCGTTCTGATCATCTCTACCTTGAAATTACAGTCGGTATAATTCTTAACACTTAGCGTGAATGTCAGCGTTCGGATGAAAACCTAAAATTAAGATGGATTTTTGGTTGGACGGCTGTATTTGTGGAAAATGCCAATGAACCTCCCCACCTCCACTGCCTTGAAGACATGTACGTAGACATATTCGAGTCCACACACACACGTGGGCACATATGCAGCGTTTCACACACACAGAGTGAACTCACCCTGGCATCTGTGACTTTGAACTCTCTGAGGATGTACTGAGGCATGTTGTACTCAGCCATCGGATCCACCACAAAGTACTGGTACCTGGCTGACCGCTCTGCTGGCCAGTACTGATGACACTTCTCCTACAAGAGAAAAAGAGAAGGAAGAAACTTTCAGCTCTTAGATTTAAACAACCTTTCTCCATTAGGGGAAAAATGACTGCTCCGATTTGTTATTGGTATGTTTTTAGGACGGGTTATTGTACGTCATTAATCATTTGGAGTCATGAGAACGGCTCTGCTTACAAAAGAAAATCCTGATAGACTAATCTGTGGTTCTGAAATATTACCTGATTCATCTTAGGTGGCAAAATATTTACATAATTTGTTTGTGTTCTTAACTACAGCGATGATTTGCATGAGAGCTTTTTTCATCAGCTGTGATTACGGCTGAGAGGGTGATAAAAGCTGTAAAATGCAGTTGAGTGCTGTCAGAATCACCTGCATAATCACAGAACAGCTCACAGTAAGATATTATGGATTTAATCAAATTGCTGCCAAGATGAGTGTCCCATTTCTTTCCCTGTAAGGAATGTGACTGATGATCTGAGAGATTTATTCGCCATTTCGCTGAAAGTGAAGTTTAGACAATATGATTTTTATGCTGTACCCTTAAAATTTGGAGCCAACACTTGGTTATTTTAACTTGTCATTACAACTGAAAAGAACCAACTTCGCACTGTTTAAAGGTTAAGAAACAAAAAAACCTCCAAAACAGTCTAACAGTACCTCTTTGAGGGGGCGGCTAACGAGCGGTATGCCATGATGGAGCCTGACTTGCGGTTTGCCCCCGTATCCAGCCTTTGTGTTACGCTAAGTGTTCCCTGAGTGCAGCTTTACAGTCTATACTTCGCAGGCATATAATTCAGAGAGAGGATGCGCATCCTAAAACTAAAATCTAAGTCTCAAAAGTAGTGACGGCGTTAGACAATTTGGAGTTCAACC